GAGCGTACATACCCTCGTCATCCGGGCAGTTGATTAGGGCGGTCGTCAACGGGCCGCAGCGCGTGCCAGGAACTATTTGCTTTTTCCAGGCTAATTTAGTCATTTTTTCCAACTTTTCACTGTTTTGGCTACTTTTTCCAAGATTAGCAGCTCCTTATCTTCACAAGGTGGAAAAAATGACTAAATTAGCCTGGAAAAAGCAAATAGTTCCTGGCACGCGCTGCGGCCCGTTGACGACCGCCCTAATCAACTGCCCGGATGACGAGGTTACTTCCTTCGTGCGCTACGGATAGGCTAGTTCATTTGTGAGCAGTCTTTTAGGTGGATATTTCATTCTGAGCACAGCTGGACAATTATAATTGATGTTCTGCTCACACGAGTCCAAGAAGAGTGCAGTTTCTATGTTAGAAATACTTTAGAAACTAATCCTTTTTGCATGTTCCAAGATTATGCACGTAGCGCCAGTACTGCGTCTTCTGAGCAGTTCCAGTTAGAGGACGAAATATCTATTCTTATCTTCATCTTTCACGTATACCAAACTTTGGAAATATGACAGCCTCAGCTGATCAGGGTAGAATACAATTCGAATTGAGAGCCTGGGCTAACGGAGAGCCAAGCGGCGCCACTCGCCACTACACCATCTACGCTGTCAAATTTCTTTTGAATGAGTGTCAATAATCTTGAATGGCAAACTAAACGTTTAAATGAACTCTAGTGAAGGACCACTACTTGGCAGTCGGGGGCGGTGGGCAAGTGAATGGCAGTTGTGGTGGCACTGCACACGTATACGCCTTTGTAAGTAGACAATCGTTCGCCATCCATCGTCCATCGCTCAGACGAGATGATGCGCAATCCTTCCCAGTCTGTGGTTGCCCTTCAAATGTTATCACAATTGATTTCATATTACTGCTAATACCATCAACTCATTACGGTTCTGGGAACTGCTGGAGAACGTGATCCTGGTCCGGCTTCGAAAGCCAACCTTGGATCTAGACGACTTTATTACCGTGCCCAGTTGGTGTAAAGGAAGTTAGTGCCGTCAGTCCAAGCCCATTTCCCTGACAAGACCAAGTCGGTGGCACCGATCCAGAAATCGGTGGAGTTTGTTGAAACCAGAGCTGATTTAGTGTTATCTGAAGTGAATACATTTTGCATTCATCGCATGGGTAAACCGGGTTTATCACGGGTCTCCTCGCTTGGTTCACCCCTCTTCTTTGTTGTACCTGAGAATAAAGGCACCAAAGAGGAGAACACAATGATAATCCCCTGGCCAGAGCACATCATTGTTGGCGGTTTTAGTTGGACTGTATTACCCTATCCCCCTTTTGGGAATTCGCGTCGATCTCCCGCTTCCGGCCCGCTGTCCCCCTGCATCAATCGGCCGTCGAGGCAGGAGGGGGGGGGGGGGGGGGGGGGGGGGGAGGGGGAGGCTAATAGTAATGCAACAAAGAAAATCACCACACGGTCAAGCCACCACTACTACTAACGCCAAAACAGTAAAATAACGCCCCCCCTCCCAAACGAATGACCAATTACGACCCCCCTTTACAACGTCCGTTGACACGAGAAAAATCAACTATCTATAAATTAAATTTTTCTCAGCCCCCCTCGCGCTGGCCGGCCACAATACGAACGCCTTTGCGGGAATTCCCAACAACGATAATGCCCTGATCCCTGTTTCCATCTTGCGAAAAAAAAGCGCTCAGTGGACAATAGACAAGCCAAAAGAGAAGTTTTCGGCTGTCTGGTAGATCTGCCAGATGAGAAAATCCAAATAAGTTGGATTCCTGACGAGAACCTTTTCAGTTTGTGCTGGTGAGCTTTACTAGTCCAACATACCCGAAATGATATCATTCTCAAACGCGTTCGATATTGAAGTCAAATGTCCACCGAGATTTATACAGTCCTGCTCTGCTAACGTATATGGAGCCGGTGTGGTGGCGAAAATGTAACACCTATAACGACAAAACTAAAAACATAAACTTCTCGCCGTAGATCAACCGCTTTTGGAATGCGGCACGCAGTCTACTTCCATTCACAATCGTACTGGCTTGTTAGATGTGATATGGCCTGTGCAACAATTAGCGGAGCCAGGTGATGGACAAGTCAGTGCTACTATCCTCCCAGATAGATATGGTACCAATTCGCGGTCCCCCGAAGGAAAGAAAGCCTAGTTGGCTAGTACAGGAGCCGATAGGGGTTTGATAAAGTACAAGATGCGCGCATGGTAAAGGGGCCACTTGCCACAACATTACTTCCTCGCCACCTGTACGTATTTTTAGAAAAAATACTGCTCCCTCACCAATACTTCTCGAGTGATTTTTTTCATTGCCTGACTGGGAGGCGAGTGCTCAGCATGGGTCGTGAAGGTGTTCCATTTTTTTGCTCTATTTTTTGCGTCCTTTTTTCGTGTCACTGCCGACAGATAGAGAAGATTGCGCAGTTCGGGTGAGCGGGGCACCAACTGTTGCTCAAAGAAGCTCACAGACCACCTTGTAAAGAGCTGGGATGTTCTGTGACCAAAATGAATCACTTGAACAACTTCGCAGCTTCTCAAGTTATAAGGCCCGGTTGATGAACATGAAATAGCACCAAAAATATCTACCGGAAATGCAAAATGCACCCCTTCCTTCCTAAGCCGAACGGTGTCGAGGAAGGAATAGAGGTCTTAATTTAGGGACACGTGCTAATAATTCGTTTAGTCTCAGTCACCAACTGAACTCACTTGTTGAACTGGGCATTGAACACGCCACCAGAAGGACACTGGTCTGCAAATGTTAGCGTAGCAAGAAGACAGGAAAGGAGGAAGATGAGCAGCATGAGCCCAGTCTTGAGATCGAAGTGAGCCTCCCACTCTTCACCCCGTAACGCTTTCGGGTCGTAAAGATATGACTGGCACTGATAGCTTGAACAACAAGCAGAAACTATGGACGAACTCGTAAACGTGAGCAAAGAAACGCTTGCACAACCAGGTTCATTGATAACTGGAGGCTAACCCTGTAGCTAGCCCTATGATGTTGTCTAGAATGAAGCGGTCCTTGTCAATGGTGTTATTCTTTACGCGCTAACAGCAACAACACCACCGCGTGGCATGGCTAACGACGTCCTTTTTGGAGACAACGCTAGTTTGTTCAAAGGGAGAAAACTTTTCGTCCTATCCAGTAGTCACTGTATTATCAAGGTAATCACTCCGCTCGACAAAAATGACTAGTTGCCTTTTACGAAAAGGTCGTCTTGACTTGGAAGGAAAGAGCACGCTAACCATGTTTATAACATAGCAATAAGACGAAACGGTTTTATGAAGGATGGAATGAGCCCATCCGCCGCGTTTGCGCCACTGATTGTTTTCTTCCTTAATCGATCTCTAAACCATTACCACTTGTAGAGCAAGGCTCATTCCGCCCTTCTGACTCCACTATCATGAAAACTAGGCTGTTTCGTGTGTCTTTTTATGCTCACTAGAGTGTAGCTTTGCTCAGACAGCACGATAGTACCGCTCTAGTGGAGAAATCCAGCGTGATTACCTTTTTAAGTTCCGAAATTTTATCGTGTTCGAAGACATGAGAAACGATAAAGGAAGTTAGATGTCAGCTAACTCTAAACTAAGCACTTCTCAAGCTTTAGACAATGCTTTCGCTCATCGAAACCCGACAAATGTCGAATCGTTGGCCGACTGAGAGTTTCATGTAATACCTACGTAGGAGAAGCATATTTATCCCACCCTAGCCAATAGGAGCGCACAGAAGACGTTAAATTCGAATCTTCGCAATATTTTTCGGTGAAAATGGGGTCCTTAATATCAAATTTGCACTTTTGTGGCAGAATTATCTCAACAGCCCAAAGGTACTAACTACAAGCTCATGGAAGTACCAAGCGTTTGCTGTTGGGAAGAGTCACGAGAAGTCAGAAGGAGAGTATTCCCGTTTACTCCGAACACGGCATATACGAGAGATCTCAGTTTTAAGGGTGTATGGGAGAAGGTCTTAAACCCTTAGCCCGATTTTCTTCAAAAATGCTCCACTAAGAAGAAACAGTAGATAGAAGGATGATCGATCCTTTTCTGTTAGGCGATAGCACTCTACCTTCATTCAGGATCGCAGCGGCATTTTGAGTGTAATTTGGCTTAAATTATTGTCATCAGATGTTCGGGTCTGATCAGACCCGAACATCTGAAGAATCTTCCGCCAGTTCTTGTCAAAACTCTGGCTCGACTCTTCACGCGCTACCTGTCGGAATGCAAGGTACCCACCTCGTGGAAAACCAGCAAGACTGTGTTGCTGTACAAGAAGGGAGACCTGTACGACATTGGCAATTATCGCCCAATCTGCCTGCTGTCTGTAGTCTACAAACTCTTGAACAGGATTGGCAGAACACTAGACGAAGGACAGCCAT